TGATAAGAGTTTAAAATAAATTTTGTGGAAGTTTAGAAAACAAAGTTTTCAGTGTTTTATTGTTACATTGAATGAATGTAATGATGGAAATGAATTTCCATCAAGTAACAGTCGAATCCACCAATTATGTAAAAAGCGATACGTTTAAGTATATTCACAAAAATAAACATCCAACGAAGATCAACGTGTTTTCAGTGGCTCACTGTGTATATATGAAATTTATACGTCCAATAAATATCAACATACGAAATTATGTTTAGTAGAAGCCAGCTATCTGTTTATTTTAATTCATAATTTGGAAAGTAAAATGTAAGTTTGTTTATAAAACGCACCACAAACAACTTTTTGAAAATAGAAAATTAATATTGAAGTTTACATTGAATGATTTTTATTACTCACTATTAACATAGATAAACAACGTGGCTAACAATTATTAGCGATAAATACACTGCTCAAACCTTATACAACCCCAAACTAAAATATTTCAGGTACTACAAATAAATCTTTGGATGGTTAAATGTTTAAGAGTGTAGGCGCAAAATTTCGGGCCGATGCTTTTTAAATGCATTCATTTTTTTTTTCGAATTCTGAGAAAACTAATAAATATTTTTGAAAAATTTAAACGCAGAATGAAAGATTACATTATTACCGAGGGCCGAAAGTACCGTAGAATAAACAAAGTTTCTTTTCAATGAGATATTTTAAATTAAAAATCACATTTAATAATCTCTTTTTTTTTCACCCCTGTAACTTACTAAAATAAACTTTCAGGGACTTTCGGCCCTCGGTAATAATGTAACCTTTCATTCGGCGTTTAAATTTTTCAAAAATACTTATTAGTTTTCTCAGGATTACTATATAGAGGTATACAACTGTGTAATGGAATAAAACAAATATGATTTTTATCAATAAATACGAAATTGGCTTTATTCGAAAAATAATAATTTCAAGAACGATAATGGTCATGGCTGGCTCTGACGTAGTCTAATCTGGAGGTCCAATTTTCGATCACTTTCCAATATTTGTCGCCGTGTATCGGCAAAAACGCAGCGAATGTTGTCTTTCAAGTGGTCAATCGATTCATATTCTTCGGCGCAAACTAGCACCTTCACATATCCTCACATAATATAGTCTAACAGTGTTAAATCGTATGATCTTCGAGGCCAATTTATGGTCCAAAACGTAAAACTATGCGGTTACCAAAAGTTTCCTGCAATACGTCAATTGTGACACGAGTTGTGTTTCATGTCTTATTGAAACGACAGCTCCTGAACATGATGGTTGTTCAATAGCGGTCACCATTGATTGTAACGTTCTGGCCAGCATCGTTTTTGAAGAAGTACGGTCCAATGATGCCACCAGACCATAAAGCACACCAAAAAGTCAGTCTGAATATAATGGTTTCTCAACATACATATGACAATTATCTTAACTTCAAATAGGGCAATTTTGTTTGTTGACGTAGCCAGTCAACCAAAAGTGAGCTTCATCGCTAAACAAAATTCACTTATGAAAATCGGAATCAACGGTAATCTCGTTTTGGGCCCACTCACCAAATCTGCGCCTTGCTAGGTGATGATGTACTTTCAATTCTTGCATGAGTTGGATTTTTAAACCCACAAAGCAAAATCTTTCCGCAAAATCCCCATGAAGTCGATGGACACGTATCCAACCGTTGTTAGCTGGATGGCAGATTGGGTCTTCCTGTATGCTAAGCTCTACAGCAGCTACATTCTGTATGCACTGTACGACGTGTCCATGCATATTGTCGCTTAAAGTAAACGTGGTGCAAAAAGGTTCCATGGTTAATCGAATTACTTGCTCTGATAGACTATTATGTTGACCATAAAATGGACGTAGTTCGTGATATGTATTTCGAACAGAACCACAATTTTTAAAATAAATTTGTACAATTTGGAAGCGTTGTTCAGGCTTCAAGTTTACTCATGCTAAAATACCAAATCAAACTTAACATAAATCACTTGACATCTGTCAAAATAGCCGACAGTTAAACAAGTGTTACCAACTTACATTTTTATACCTCTAAAAAAACATCCGAGGATCGGTATTACTAGCTCGTGTAGTATGATCGAACTGGCTAGGAAAAATATTCTCATTTCATATTTTATCACAACCTTACTTGAAATAGTCCCCATATAACAAAAGTGAATATTGTCCAGAGAAAATGATGGTCAAAAATTGTTTAAACAATTTTTCTAAACAAATTGTCAAATTTATTTTTTTTTATTCGGTACAAGTTTTTTAGGTTAACTGGCTGATTCCAAGGTCCTATTAACTTTTCTCTAAAATGCATCGCTTTCGAGTTAAAAACAATTTTGGGTCGGAAAAAACGCGAAAATGGCCATTTTTTAAAGTTCAATAACTCAATGAAAAATAATTACTTTTAAGTTTAGCAATCATCAAATTAAACGTAAAGCCACATTTTACAAGATGCCGAAGTGTTTTTACCCATAACTTTATGGCAACGAATTGTTTTTGAATGATGAATGTGTTGCTTGTGTGAGTCCATATCAAATAGGTAAAGAAATAATAATAAGACTTACTCACAATCAATTTAATTTAACAATCTGACGACCGGTTTCGCTTTCTACAATTTGCAAAGCATCTTCAGGTCGAGATACAAAGTTAAACTAATGCTGCAATAAAATAAACCCAATTAGGGTGGTGTCTCATAAAGATAAAATAAACAAATAAATTAGTTCATACAAATTATAGTAATTATGCCAATATTACATGTCTGTGGTTTTCAAAATGAATAATTTGAATATATAAAAGGTATTAACAGACAAGGTAAGGCCCACAATTGGTATAAAGTAGCAATCTTATATTGTAATAAATTAATAAATGAGCAAATAAATAAAACAAAACAAAACAAACATTACTTACATGCCGGTACTCTATTAATTGATGGATGGTAGGTCATGGTTGCAAAAATCATGTATTGTTGATTGGAGAACTTTAATGTGCTATTGCAGTTGTTTTGACAATAACAACTGCAATAGCACATTAAGTTTTGACAACTGCAATAGCACATTAAAGTTCTCCAATCAACAATACATGATATTTGCAACCATGACCTACCATCCATCAATTAATAGAGTACCGGCATGTAAGTAATGTTTGTTTTGTTTTGTTTTATTTATTTGCTCATTTATTAATTTATTACAATATAAGATTGCTACTTTATACCAATTGTGGGCCTTACCTTGTCTGTTAATACCTTTTATATATTCAAATTATTCATTTTGAAAACCACAGACATGTAATATTGGCATAATTACTATAATTTGTATGAACTAATTTATTTGTTTATTTTATCTTTATGAGACACCACCCTAATTGGGTTTATTTTATTGCAGCATTAGTTTAACTTTGTATCTCGACCTGAAGATGCTTTGCAAATTGTAGAAAGCGAAACCGGTCGTCAGATTGTTAAATTAAATTGATTGTGAGTAAGTCTTATTATTATTTCTTTACCTATTTGTTTTTGAATGATTAATTTTGCGTTACGCCGAGTTCTGCGACCGCTGTATATACATATATACATGAATGAGCATATGCTTGGTGGGTGGTTTTTGTGGAAAAAGGTCGATTTCATATCCACAAGTTGAAACTTCTTTTAATAGATAGAATGTAATGCCAATATGCTATGTTTAAAAGTTTACCGAAAGTTTTTCATGAGAACCTATTTATTAAAATATAATTTTTTTAGACCAATTATAAAAAATTGTTTTTTTCGCTTCAAAATCCCTTTTTTTGGTAATATGGGTTATTATAAGACGAAAGTTATTTTCGTGATTTTTTCGTAAAATGCTTACTTTAAGCGTAAAATGCAAATCAATGTGAGCGGTTTTCGAAGTCTTTTTTCAATAGGTTTGATATCTAAATTAAGAAAACAAAAAATATTAGGTGAAAGTTAAGTCAAATAGTTTCAAACTACGAAATTCAATTTTGATTTTAGATTGCAAGAGTCAGGTTAAAACATATACATATAATACAAATAGATTGACTCTTGCAATACAAGGCCCGTTCCCCGGTGCGACAGACAAAACTGCATCGAGCAAAAAGACAAAAGAGGGAATCTAATCCTTATGAAAAGGAGACCAAAAAAGTGGCCTCTGATGGCGGACATATCCGGAAATGCGAATGCACCAAATTTAAATTTTCCGACACTTATCAACAGTAGCTATATAATATTTTTCAGAATGTGTCTTAGACGAGACAGTTTTAATTAATTATTAACGATAATAGTCTAAAATGCGACACAATTGTTAACAAACTTCAATATAAATAATATTTCATGTGACATTTGGGACAAACAATAACATAACCCAACTAAATTTGGTGTCAAACAAGGAGAGAGACTCTCTTTCCTTGTTTAATGTGGCCTCTAAAGATCGCACTTCCTGTCTAACAATATGTTTGCCCCCACTACCTTTACATTCTCTCTTTTGTCTTTTTGCTCGATGCAAAACTGACACAAAGCAGTTCTTGCATCTCTTTCTAATGGGCCGAGTTTATCGACCACCTGACCTAAATGACCAATGGGAAGCTCACGTGGTCGATAAACCCGCTCCATTAGAAAGATATGTAGATACTGCAGATATGTAGATCTATCATATTGTCATTTTATTATAGAAAACCATAACAAATGCTTTCTTTGACCGGAGATTTGAAGGCGATCCTCTTAATTTAATTGAGCATTGTGTATAGATATATATTTTCTTTATATTCAAATCGCAACATTAAAAAAGTATTTCGCTAAAAGCAAATAGGTACTTTTTTGAACAAAAGATAAACATCATCAAAATATTTGTACAAAACACATTTAAATCGTGCGATAACGCTTATCGCAAATAATAAACGCGAATGTACGATATATACGTAGCTTTTGCATCATTCCAATTCAGTCTAGTTGAATCTCCCATGTAGTGAACTTGATTCCACTATGGATATAAAAAATCGTTTTTGTCGTGCAGGTGCCCAGGCGCCCAAGTCGAAGCTGCTGAGGCAGTTCGGACCTTTGTTGGTGGCCATGGTCGGATTGCCGGGAAGAGGAAAGAGTTTGTTGGCCAGGAGATTGTCCAGATATCTTAATTTTACCGGTGACAACACTAAAGGTAAGTCCACAATTACATAATTATGATTTAAGTCTGTTAAAGAAGCATTATATTCGTTAAATATTGATTAAACACGTAATTTAATTTAAGTATTGGATAATTACTATCTCGGTAATGGGGTTCATTGTACTTTACACCCAGTTCTTAAAATGTAATGTGTCTACTCGTCCGAAGGTACAGCATTATAACAATTTTATTTTCATTCTAAATGTTTCATTATTTCTTTTTCTATTCTGTTAAAGATCTGGTAAGTTGGTAATTTAGCATGTTTTGAGAAATAGATTGCCAGTAATAATTTAACTTCTTGGTGAGGTGCAACATGAAGCGAAAATTATTTTGTCTTTTTAAACATGTCTAACTTTTTGTCACATGTAGCTGACTTACCTTCGCATGGCACCAATTATTATCACTGTTGGTACTTCGATTTCATAAGTCACGATCGAAGGGGTTCACATTTGATATATTTTTTGATGATTATCGTTTTGAACCATCTGCATAAGCTGTTTAATATGCTATGTTGGTATTCTTTATCTATTTGTCATATGTGAAAATGGCACGATGACAAATGAAAATCAAAATGAATAACATTAGTAATTTTAATGTTTTTGTATTTTAAACAACTAGATATGGCCTTTGTTATGTTTTCTGTGCTTTTTGGTACTGTATTTGATCATTCATTTAGTGTATCTATTTAAATCGTCTGGTCACATCGTTCATAATCTTCAGTTAGGTATTTGGTTTTCCCAATATTTACTCTTCTTGTCCGTTATTTCCATCTGTAAATATTTATATTTGTAAATAGACCTGGAGATGAAGTTTGAGGTTTTAAAGGCTTCGTAGTACATAATTGACTATCTAAACTTTGTTTTTTAAAAAACCAGTAAAAGATGAAAAGCACTCTTTCAATCAATTCTATTGGAGAAAAAATTTCGAGAATTCAGAAAAAGAACACAAGAATAAAAACAGAATAAGAAAAACCTATTACCATACAGAATAAAGTAGAATTAAAATGGAGCACTGGAAACCCTTCTCAAAAGAAGTGGAAACATGATTTTTATGGTTTACAAAAAGAAATATGACGATTTATAAGACGTCAAAAAGCAGAGTTGAAGGAATTAATAGAACCGAAACACATCGAAAATGATACGTAAGTTGACTGTCTAAAGAAGTTATATCTATACAGAGGAATAACAATCAACCAACACCTGTACGTTGACGAAACTGACGAAACAAGATCTGCCGAAAACACCGACTTGTCCATGAAATATATAGATATTGTGCATATCTCGGTCATGAAATCAGAATAAGCAAGGAGAATCAGTCCTGTGAATTTTAACGACGAATAACACTTGCTTGGGCGGTTTCGGTTCACAAAGAGACATTTTTAACAGCTTACATAGTTTATCGTGTCCGGACATGTCATTCATAAAATTTCGGCCCAGTATCGGGCTACGTCGGTTCCATCTTTGTTGGCGAGCCACAAATCTTCAAGGGTACATCGATGAGGACAGGTTCTGCATGTAAGAAGATGTTCCATATTCTGTGTTTCTCCACAGTCACAGTTCACATCATCTTGGTCTATTTTTCCCCATTTTGCCATGTTTGATTTTACTGTAGCAACCCCCGTTCTTATCCTATTCAAGGTTTTCCACGTTTTAAAGTCTAGGGTCTGGCCGGTCCATTGAACCTGGGGAAGTGGAAAATACTCAGCGGTTCATCCTGCACTGTTCCAAGGAAGCTTTTCCTAGATTTTAGTCGCTTTCGTGGTGTTCGAGCTTTGTATAGGGCATGCCGATCGTCCGCGATCTGTTTTTTTCTCTATGTGTTCTGCAGCGCCTCTGCGTGTTGAGGGTTCTGCAAAACCCGCTGCTCTATATAGATTTGAAAGTGGCGTTGGTTTCATGCACCCCGTTACTATCCTGCATGTCTCATTTAGCGCAGTATCAACTTGTTTGGTGTGGGCAGATCTGCTCCAAACGGGGCACGCATATTCAGCAGTTGAGAAACACAGTGCCTGTGCCGTTGTTCTTAAAACGCCAGGACGTGCGCCCCATTTACTTCCCGTTAGCTTTCTGAGTATGCTGTTCCTAGTTGTTACTTTCCCTCTTGTTTTTATGCAATGTTGTCTGTAGGTGAGGGACCGGTCCAGAGTTACTCCAAGATATATAGGTTGGTTTGTGTGTTCTAATGTATTACCATTCCACACAATTTGGAGTTTTCTCTTGGCTTCCTTTGTGCGAAGGTGGAAAGCGCAGACTTGGGTTTTAGAGGGATTGGGTGTCAGAGAATTCTGCAGGTAGTACGCTGTCATTGTTTTTAAGGCAGTTTCGAGTTTCTCCTCCACTTCTTCAAAACTATTTCCTTGAGCACATATTGCAAGATCGTCAGCATAGAGGAAGTGCTTGGTTTCGGTCGGAGTAGGTTGGTCGTTTGTGTATATATTGAAGAGCATTGGTGCTAAAACACTTCCCTGTGGGAGGCCGTTTTTTTCAACTCTCCACCTACTTACTTTACCCTTCAGCATAACGAAAAAACGTCTATTTTGCAGTAAGGAATATACGACCTTTCCTAGATGGTGGTCATTGAGAGTGTCGTATAATTTGCGGAGCAATGCTTTGTGCCTTACTGTGTCATAGACTGCTGTCAGATCTACAAAAGCAGCCCTGTTATAAGTTTTTCTTCAAAGCCCTCTTCAATGTGTTCTGTTAATGCGAGGACTTGACCGGTGCAAGATTTGCTAGGTCTGAATCCTCCTCGTTGTGGGATGAGGTGCTTGTCGACATTTTTTTCTATTCTGGTGGTCTTTTTTTATTCTGGAGTATGAGTCTCTCGTATACATGGATGTATAAATAAAAATCGTATAGTTTAAAAAAGTGACACAATAGCGAAATAGGTCTGTAGCTACTGGGCTTTTTTGGATCCTTTCCCGGTTTTAACAAGGCTATTACTTTAGATTTCCTCCATGATTTTGGAATTTTGCAGATTTTGCAGCACGTGTTATAAAATTGCAAGATCCAGTTTTTTGCTCCTTGGCCTAAATGCTTTATTTGTTCACTGCATATCATCCACACCTGCAGCTTTCCCGTTTTTTAACCTGTTCAGACCGTCGTGGAGTTCTTTTAGTGTAAAAGGAGTTCCTAGGTGGTTTGTCTCCGAATCCAATCTTTTATAGTGTTTGGGTCCTTTTATCGGTTAGTAGTTCTTCCATTCATAATGAGTTGAGCAGCGAATTGGTTTGCTGTAACCTTGCAAGGTGGTTTATGTTCTTTTGGATCACCGCTGAGTTTTTTTACATGGTTCCATGCTCTTTTGCTACTATGTGTTATGTCCATTTTTTCCAGAGTCTCAATCCACTTTTCCTGTATTAAGAACATATTAAGAACAGGGATTATTTGAGGAATCCAACTATGGGAAAATATATAGGTTGTTCTATTTAAAAAGTTGTATCTTTGCTTTACCACATAACTGTTAATCACCCTGTAGAATTTGGCATATATTCTAAGCCTGGAGAATATCATTGCCTAATTTTTTTCTGAATAATTTTATTTGGCATATTCCGTACCATAATGGAATTAATGACCATTCTCACACTCAAAACTCACCCTGATATCTTGAACCCAAATTTGCAAAAGTTCAAATCGAGCTTTCCTTGATGTTCGTCCAGTTTTTCAGAAATTCATTAATAGAAAACCAGTCACTCTTTTTGGCAGTCAAAACCATTCTGTACCTTAGCTAAAATTCAAATTTTTTATTATCACAATCAGTTTTTTTTCCTATATCCAACTCAGCAGTTTTTTATCTGCAAGTCGTACGATAAAACATTTATATATAACCGATTTCAGAATCAAAAATATCGTTTGAATTAGTTCAATCTATTTTTAAACCGTTCACATAGAGGTGGGATGTCTCAATCCCGATCACGCAATGTTCCATTGAAACCATGACCTTTCTAATTTTGTAGTTGTAGCTGATAATTTTTTACACGGAATTTTGTACATTTTATCTTTTATGTATATTTTTTAGGTTGCTTCATTGTTATTTTTAGTTATTGGCATTTTTGTCAGGACAGATTTGCATTTTTTTAGTAAATTTTAAATTTAGTGAGGCTTCAGTGGTTTTAGATCGCATTACACTATGAATTCCTACACATGCAAGTCTTTGCCATTTTTCGTCAATATAATTGACTTCTACATTTTTTTACTGCACCCAACCAGGGCAATATTAGTAATTATTTTATATATACCTTTTATTACTATACTTTTTAATATTTCGCAATTCGAATACATTCCGTTCTTCTTATTTCGTTTCAGTTTCGTCTTATGGACGTCACAATTGTTTTCTGAGATATAAGGCACAAAGCAAAATTTGTTATTCAAGAAACTAAGTTAAAAAAAAACATTCAGAAAAATGTTTAAGATCTCAGCAAAAAATAATGCACTCTTAGTAAATGTCCTCTTTTTTCTTTCCAGTATATGACATCAGCGAATACCGTCGCAAACACATCAAACAATATGGTTCCCATGAAATGTTCCGCGCAGATAACTTGCCCGCTTGGAAAATTCGCCAACAGAGTTTCCGTGAAGCCTTGGAAGACGCTGCAGCTTGGCTACACAGTTCGAATAGCAGCGTTGCCATTTTAGACGGACCGAACGTCTCCAGAGGACAGAGACAAGAAATTTACGATCTCATCTACACTCAAATGGGCTTCAGAGTCATGTTCATAGAGTGCGTCTGCGAAGATCCTGTTCTGCTGGAAAGAAACTTTAAGGTAGGTGTACGTGTCACGATAGAAATGGAGCTTACTGTGGTAGTTTTTAATAGTATTAACGTAATTACACCTTTCAAGAATTTAGTTAGAAGTAATGTTTTTTCCAGGAGATCTTACAATACAGCGCCGATTACCACGACATGGCCACCGAACAGGCACTGAAGGATTTAACACACAAGATGGCTCATTACCAAGCGCAGTACAAATCTCCAACTCTTGGAAGTAGGTGGGAACTTCCATGTCCAATGGTCAAAATTTTGGATGGAGGAGACGGTGGTATAATTGCTCATGGCATCAACGGACAAAAGGAGAGCAAGATTCTTGCTTACATCTCCACACCGAAGCAGATTCAACAGACTCTTTATTTCAGTCGTGTAAGTACCATCCTTCAGTGTAAGGCCTCCTTAATTTTTGTCCATTGTGCTGTATCTTGAGCACTTTTCATTAAGTCTTTTTAGTAAAATAATCAAATGTTTATAAAGCTGAATACTAAAAATTACCAATAACATATAGTAACTTCTTTTATTTTATAATAAAAAGAGAGGAAGAAGATAATAGTTCCTACTAGTAGGGGAGAGGGGGGTTAGTGTGGACATGGGGTTAGTGTGGACATAGTTAATTATTTAAAAACTCGCATTTAAATCTGCCGCCCAGTCTGTTCAGGAAGTGACTATTAACGCCACCGAACACCACGTAAAAGTTGGTTGAAATATTTTCTATAATATGGCCGCCAGTGACAGAAAGTGATTTTGTGTGTTGTATCCATTTATTTCACACGGTAAGTAAAATTATACTAAAATTGAAGTTATTGAACTAATTGTATACCTAAGTTAGTGTATGGCTTCTGGAATATTTAATTACTACATTTGATATGGAATGAGATAAAATTATCATTTTTCGAAACGTCATTCCATTGTTACTGTCAAACATGGCGTTCGGGGTTAGTGTGGACAAATCATCAGCTGTCCACACTAACCCCACAAATGATTATATTTCCAAAAATCATGTGATAAAAATCGCTTTTTTGTTTCAGATGAGGACTTACAGTAGAAAAACGGCGAGAGCTGATATTGATGAAAAAGTTGTAGAGCGTGCAATAAAGGATATCCTAAGAAAAAAAGGAAGCTTGAGAAATATTGCAGAGAAATATGAATTGAAAAAAAGTATGCTTCACAAAAGAGTCATTTCGGCTAAGAGGAACCTTCAAGATGCTAATATACCCTCTGGTGATGATTCAGGTAACGAAGATGAGTTAGAAATTGTTAGCTTGAATGTTTCTGGCGTCAATAAATTTCGAGGTCGCCAAATATTTTCTGATGAACAAGAACAACACATTGTCAATTATCTTAAGAAGGCGTCTCGATTACATTATGGCTTGACTTACAAGCAGGCTTGTACCCTAGCTTTTGAGTATGGTAGTGCTCTACAAATAGAAATTCCTTCGAATTGGACTAAAAATAAGATAGCAGGAAAGGACTGGATATATTCATTTATGAAACGACATGGTGATTTATCTCTTAGAAAACCTGAAAATACAAGCATAGCACGAGATGCAGCCTTTAACAAATCCAACGTGGATTTATTTTTTGATAATTACATTGGAGTTTTAGATAAATTTAAAGGAAGGCCAGAAAGGATAATAAATTTAGATGAGACAGGTATACCCACGGTCTTACCACCACCCAAACGTATAGCTGAAAAGGGAAAAAAAACAAATAGGAGCTGTGGCCTCTCAAGAACGCGGTGAAAATGTTACAATGTGCGGAATTATAACAGCCACTGGACAAGCAATACCTCCAGTTTTCATATTCCCCAGGAAGAATATGAAAGACCGGTTCTTAGATGGTGCACCAATAGGGAGCATTGGTCTGGCTCATCAGTCTGGCTATATGACTGCTGAATTATTTTTAGAAGTACTAAAGCACATAAAAATGCACTTAAGTGCTTCTAAAGAAAACCCTGATATTAATGGATAATCATTCAAGTCATATAAGTTTGGAAGCTATAAACTTAGCTAGAGAATCTGGAATTACTCTTTTATCGTTTCCGCCACATTGTAGCCACAAACTACAGCCGCTAGATGTTGCAGTATATGGTCCTTATAAAGCTGCATTACGGGTTGCAATGGGAGACTGGCTTCAAAATCATCCAGGCAGACCTATACAAATATATGATGTTGCTCAACTGTGTGGTATTGCTTTTCCTGTGGCATTTACAATGAAGAATATAACATCTGGATTCAGATCTGCTGGTTTATGGCCAATAAATCGTCTTGTATTCACCGATGAGGATTATGAAGCTGCCGAAACAACAGATAGGAATCAAGAACCACCAACAGCAATGAACCCAAGAAATCCTGAAGATCCTGAGCGAATATTAGAAGTTGCTTCAATCTCCACAAGACTGCTACCTGTAGCTCCCATTACGCTTTCACCATCAGTAGCAACTACATCAACAGCTGTAATTACTCCTGAGAGCTGCCGCCCTTTTCTAAAAGCAGATCGCTCATCAAACTCCAAAGCAAGAAAAAATAAAAAGTCGACTATTTACACGAGCACACCAGTGAAAGATCAGTTGGAAGCTGAAAAAGAGGCTAAAGATTTGAAGGAAAGACGTGCGCAAGAAAGAGCTGAAATGCGAGAAAAGAATAGAGTGAAGAAATCTCTTTCCTATGAACCAAAAAGGAGTAGGAAAGAATCTTCCTCTTCCAATTCTTCTACAGAAGTAATACTTGAATCAGAGGATGAAGGCTGGATGGAAGATGATGGTCAGGACAACGATATTTTTATGGACAAACAAATGGAGAAAAATGATTTCGTACTTGTATTTCCCGAAGTTGAAGATGTCTCAGTTGTCGACAAGAACGATATTGTCGGAATTTTGGAGCACCCAGTAGACACTGGCACGAAAAGGCAAGGAAGATTATTTTCATTTAATATTAATTTCAGTTCTTATAATGTATCGTAGTTTCTTTTTGTTAACATAAAGTTTTCAGTATTCCTGTATATGTTTTACTATGCGTCCACTATAACCCCATACTCTGTCCACTTTAACCCCACCACGGGGTCATTGTGGACAAATTATTGATTCCGATTTGAATTAAAATATTTGTTCTATTAAGAAAGATAAAAATAAAATATTCACATCGAAAGTTGAGTTGATGTTTACAGTAAATATGTGAGGTAAGTTCAGCAATAAGAATCTTATACATATTTTTTAATTTGCTAATAAGTAAAAATGGTCCACAGTAACCCCCTTCTCCCCTATTGTAAAAAATCATTACCCCCTCACCACTAACTGTGTCAGTCTCGCTTCTTTTCTGCATTAGTTGCCTGGTATTTTGGCCAATTTTCTATTCTTTTTTAAGTTCTAGGGCAGAATTTGTTTTGACTTTCCAGTAAGGCATTTGTTAATTTATTATTAAAGTCGTTTATATTATTTTCTGCCTCAGAACTACTAAGTATGTCCGAAATACATTGCTGAAAACAATCTATATCTGATGGTTTCATCCATGGTTTTGATTTGTTCTTTTTGTTTTTTGTCCGTGATAATAAAATCTATTTCGTTTTGAATTTCTTATTTCACATTCATTTCTACCATTCAAGCCAAAGTTTCCCAGTGGTGTTTCTGTAGGGTTGGATTCCATTCCTGTTTTGGCGTTAAAATCACCACATATGATACATGTGGTGATTTTTATGGATGTGGTGGAACTTTACTGTTTTGTCTTCATATTTCCGGTACTTCAAATTTTATCATGTTTAGTTCCCTTGTTTGCGAATTATGGGTTCATCAAACTATATCTATATTAATGGATTCGACCGTTACTTGATGGAAATTCATTTTATGTAACAATAAAACACTGAAAACTTTGTTTTCAAACTTCCACAAAATTTATTTTAAATCTTATCACTACAGCTGTTTCGGCTGATTGCCTTTCTCAAGTGATCTATTTTTGGCTTGGGTTTACAAATTTATAGTCTCTAATGAAATAGGTTGAGGAGGGGAGAACTGTTTGTCTCAAGTTGGTCATTCAGAATTATATCTGTGTTTTTTAATTTGTTGATTTCCATAGATTCTAACAAAGATAGCTTAAGGCCTTTATTTTGAATGTGAAGAATTTTAAATTTGTCATTAAAAGAATGATTATGATCTAGAAGGTGAAGTGCGTATGTCGAATCTGTTTTTCTATTCTTGAAAGCCCTTTTATGTTCTGCTATTCGTTTATCAAAGTTTCTACCAGTTTGACCGATGTAAGTTTTTGGGCAGTCGCCACATTGAAGTTTGTACACACCACTATTTAAGTGTTTTTTATTTTGGCTCTTGTTATTTTTAATATATTTGCCTAGGTTGTTATTTGTTCGGAAAGCTGGTGTTATTCCTTTCTTTTTTATGTGTTTGGCAATTTTTGTTGTTATTTTGCCTGTATATGTAATCGAGCAGAAGGTACTGGGTTTTTTCTCTGGTGGTGGAAATACTAATTTCAGGGCTTTCTTGTGTAGTTTTTGATTTAACATTTTATTAATTGTTTGTTCGTTGTATCCGTTGTTTACTGCTATTTGCTTAATTATATTTAATTCTGTCTCAAAGTTGTATTTTGACATCGGAATTTCTGTTAATCTATGTAACATACTATGATAAGCTGCCAGTTTATGTTGTGTTGGATGGGATGATGAATTGTGTATAGTCGTGTCAGTATGGGTAGGTTTATGAAATATGGAGAAGTCATGTTTGTTTTGAAGTCTGCTAATTTTTAAATCTAAAAAATTTATGGATTGATTTTGTTCTGTTTCTATTGTAAATTCAATATGACTATGAAGTGAATTAATATACGATAAAACTTGGTCGAGTTGCCTGTTAGTTCCTGTGAAACATACCAGTACGTCGTCTACGTACAGGCAACTCGACCAATTTTTATCGTATATTAATTCACTTCATAGTCATATTGAATTTACAATAGAAACAGAACAAAATCAATCCATAAATTTTTTAGATTTAAAAATTAGCAGACTTCAAAACAAACATGACTTCTCCATATTTCATAAACCTACCCATACTGACACGACTATACACAATTCATCATCCCATCCAACACAACATAAACTGGCAGCTTATCATAGTATGTTACATAGATTAACAGAAATTCCGATGTCAAAATACAACTTTGAGACAGAATTAAATATAATTAAGCAAATAGCAGTAAACAACGGATACAACGAACAAACAATTAATAAAATGTTAAATCAAAAACTACACAAGAAAGCCCTGAAATTAGTATTTCCACCACCAGAGAAAAAACCCAGTACCTTCTGCTCGATTACATATACAGGCAAAATAACAACAAAAATTGCCAAACACATAAAAAAGAAAGGAATAACACCAGCTTTCCGAACAAATAACAACCTAGGCAAATATATTAAAAATAACAAGAGCCAAAATAAAAAACACTTAAATAGTGGTGTGTACAAACTTCAATGTGGCGACTGCCCAAAAACTTACATCGGTCAAACTGGTAGAAACTTTGATAAACGAATAGCAGAACATAAAAGGGCTTTCAAGAATAGAAAAACAGATTCGACATACGCACTTCACCTTCTAGATCATAATCATTCTTTTAATGACAAATTTAAAATTCTTCACATTCAAAATAAAGGCCTTAAGCTATCTTTGTTAGAATCTATGGAAATCAACAAATTAAAAAACACAGATATAATTCTGAATGACCAACTTGAGACAAACAGTTCTCCCCTCCTCAACCTATTTCATTAGAGACTATAAATTTGTAAACCCAAGCCAAAAATAGATCACTTGAGAAAGGCAATCAGCCGAAACAGCTGTAGTGATAAGATTTAAAATAAATTTTGTGGAAGTTTGAAAACAAAGTTTTCAGTGTTTTATTGTTACATATATCTATATTATATAATATTTTCCTCTAATACTTAATTTTTTAAATTTCCCAAGAAATTTCCAACATATTTTATAAATATTCTTCCTATTTATTATTTTTGTCATCATGCTCAAAACGAAACGAGTGAAGCATTTGTAACACCATTGCTTTTTTTATAGCACGGAGAAAGTGAATACAACGTCATCGGAAAGATCGGCGGAAATGCAAGGCTCTCTCCCAGAGGAAGGATGTACGCCAAAGCACTAACGAAACATGTGCGCGCACTTAATTTACCCAGCCTCCAAGTTTGGACCTCCACTCTTCAAAGAACAAAGGAAACTGCTGCCAGTATTCAAGCCCCGCAACAGCATTTGTCCGAATTAGATGAAATTTGGTCGGTAAGTAAATACAATTTACTATTAAATATACCAAAGAGGTTTCAGCGTTTTTCTATACCGGTACGGCCCAGGGAATATAGCATATAGAAGCTTGTTTTATGCTGAACTTGTTGTTGATTCCCAGTGAAAATAATAAATTGTATTTAAATGCCACCAAAAAATAGCTTCTGAACAAAATTAGAATTTGATAATATGTCTCCGAGACTGTCTCAACTCAAAACATGGCTGTCTGCCTGCTAAATCGAGGCCGAGTGAATCGCCTGTCAAATTTGGTCAAAACGGCGCCAACTAATAAAATGACAACAGAAGTAATAACCTCATTATTTTATAATTTTTAAAATTCTCTCCTTTTTGAAAACGAATTCTAGAGTGGAAATCCAAATGCCAAAAAGAAAAATATAAAATGTAATCTTTTATTACAATACATACATCTAGTGTCATTGTTTGGGCAAATACAGTTTTTTAGATAATCGTTTTCCGGGATAAACAAATTGATCACTTACAAACAATTTGGTCGACCTAGCTGATATTTAGCACACTTAAATAACTCATTAATTGCCATAACTGCAAGTAGTCATATTACATGTCATTATGCAAATAACAAAGTTATTAACATTTATAAATTACAACAAAAATAAGAGTTTTTGCAATTATCTCGGTCAGTTTTTTATATATTTTAATTTAGAAACTCTCAAAGATTTTTTAAGGTCTATAACTTTTATGTTAACCATTTTCTCTAACAGTATTTTCCCTAACCATTTTCCCTATACATATAAGGATCGTTTTATAGGCAAAAAAAAAAGATTTTTTCAGTTTTTATGATATATATAACAAGCGAGTCTTCTACAGCTGGCGCCGCTTCTCGCATCCTAATTTCCAGCGTTTTCTGTCGAAGCAATCTTCAGTTGTTAGATCTCTGGCGGTCATTGCATCGTCGACATCGTCTCTCCAGGATCGTCTTGGTCTACCTCGTTTTCTTCTAGTTGGCGGAGTCCATTCTTCTATTTTTTTTGGCCATCTATTTTCCGGCATTCTCTGAAGGTGTCCATACCAGTTAAGTCTTTTGGCTTCGATTGTGTCTATTATGTCAAGATCGATTTCCATTTCTCTCCGAATATCTTCGTTTCTCACCCTATCTAGTCTAGTGAGCTGGCAACATCGTCTCCAGTAGTTCATTTCCATAGCCTTAATTCTTGATTTGTTTCTTTGGTTTATTTCCCAGAGTTCGGCGCCATACAGTCCAATACTTTCTATTATTGTTTTATAAATTCTTCTTTTATTTTCTTTTGTTATTTTTTTATTCCATAATAGTCCGTGTAGCTGTCTGGTGGCTGATCTTGCTTGGCCAATCCTGGAATGTATTTCTTCGCTACTTCCTGCTTTTGATGTTATTTGGACTCCCAAGTACTTAAATTTTTACAGTACAGTTTTTATGATTGTTTAAAAAAATAGAGCAAAATCAGCTGTACGCCTTTCAAGGATTCGTCATCATCTATCCCTCGTATTCGCTATGTGCAAGTTCGGAATAGCAATTATTAGCACTTTTAATACTCGTATGTAAACTGCAAATAAAATGACCTAAACTTGTTTATTTCATCAAATAATGATTGTATTTATATCAATATTTGACTTCGATAAATGTTTAATGGAATTGTAATTGCAAAAATGGGTAGATATATTTTGTACGTTTAGATTTCATCATTTGAACAATAAAGAGGTTATTAAAAGGTAAACATTTCGGATAAAACTGCAAATAAAACGACTTAAACTTGTTTATTTAATACAATAATTATTGTAATTTATATTAGAAATCACCTTTTCTCTTTGCATTAATTTTTACTTATAATTTGGAAACGAATGTAACTTGAATTGACTATATCTTGTTGTATTTTTACAATTTATATGCAAGGTTTCGCCGCTTCACGCACACGATCGTTTCTCCTTCAAAAACCTGAATAAGATTTTTACGAGAAATCGATTTTTTTCACAGACTCACTGAGGTATAAATGCTCCTTCCACTTTGAAGAAAGTCGCTGCCACTATATCTTTGTCTTCCAATGACTGTAAGAGTAGTCCATTAAGATCATCCAACACTAAATCCGTAGACCTTCCTGGCTGGAATACATATTGATAATCGTTAAGTACACTATACATCTTCTTCTTCTTCTTTTTATATAGACGTGACTGTCTATTTTTCAATGTACCTCCAGTAAGTTGTCGTTTCATCGTTTTCGTGGTCTTCTTACTGATCGTCTTCCTATTGGGGAACCGTATCTTGCCGTGTTTACTACTCTATTTGTTGTCATTCGGCTTATATGATCGTTCATTCTACTCTTCTATTTCTTACCCAGTTCTTGATGTTCTCCACCTTGCATCTACGTCGTAATCTGTACTTCTAGCTCTGTCCCATAGTGTCTTACCATCAATTTTTCAAGTGTTTTCATCTCTGCTGTTTCTAACATCCTTTTTGTCCTCTCTGTGTCAGGTCTTGTTCCTCCGCGTATGTCATTATTGGTCTGATAATGTGATGCCTAGATATTTAAACTCCATCGCTTGTTCTATTATCTAACCTTCCAGCTCCAATTTACATCTTAGTAAATTTGCTGTTGTAACCATGCATTTTGTCTTTTTTGGGGAAATTAACATGTTAAATTTTCTGGCGGTTATATTAAATCGGTGCAGCATACGTTGTAAATCATCTTCATTTTAAGAGATATTGCGTCGACTGCATAGCAGATTACTTTAAGTTGTTTTTCTCCCATTTGGTATCGTTTTTAGTTCTAGGTATACTACACCAAAGGATATATTCCAGTGGCTTGGGTAGGGCTATTTGATAATAAGCTAACTAACCTTCAGAGACCTCGTGAAACAGACTTTACCCAATATTAGTCAACATTGATGAGACTAAAAAATACGTTTCATTAAAGCATTGTTAGGCTTTTTTCTATCGTTTCCGCATGAGTTGAGTCCTTTCTTTTCAGGAAACCGACCTTATCAAAGACCGTGTGGATCCTAGAACTTTTCGACTTCTTCACAAAAAACCTCCGGTAATTCTATGATATGTAGAGTGTAGTATTTTACAAAAACTTTCTACAGTTTTATCTATTTTAGCGCGTGCTGATCAAAGATTTTTATTAAGGTTTTTTTGTTTTGATTAAAAAAACACGCTTTTAAAAACAATGCGTCATATTTAATCACTGTGATCCTATCAAAATGTTTGCTTATTTACTTTTGTGTATAGATATTTTTAAGAAAAACAACAAAAATATCAATCGAAAATAAGATTGTCATCAATTAATCTTTTGATAAGAAGAACCAATTAAGAAACTGTCATAAAAAATGTACAGAGTATTTTTTAGTGATAAGAGATCTTAGTGTTATTGAAAGGAAACAACAAAATACTCCTAAGATAGTTATTATCTTCCCGGAATACTTGAGCACGTGTTATTTTTCGATTAAATCTATAATTTTGTATTTTTCTATAGGCACTTAATTATCTTCATTTCTTGCATATTTTTATGTGCAATAAATATTCTTAATAGTCTCTTTTTCTTGTATCTTTTGTTTCAGCATTATAAGATATTATAGAAATTATTAAACGTTATACCATATGGCTTTCGGTTGGCTTCAGAACCTGCTGTCAAGCCTAATTTGGACCAAGGCCTTGCAGTAACAGATACTCTTTTCTCGCTGTTTCTTGCTGCGCTATATTCTATTGGATTCCGAGTGAGTTTAGTCCTTTCCTTTCAGGAAGGAAGCAGACTCCCTTCGCCAAGACCTTGTAGATCCTAGAATATTTCGGCTCTTGCTAAGCTTCATCAGTTTCTGTTTATCTTCGGAAGTATGACATATGGCTTTCGGTAGGCCTCAGAACCTGCTGTCAAGCCTCTTTTGGACCAAGGCCTTGTAGTACCAGGTACCCTTTTCTCGCTGAGCTGTTTGCGCATGGGTTTAGACCTTTCTTTTCAAGACTCTTTCCACCACAAGGTCTCGCAGCTCTCGGAAGGCCTTGTGATCTACAATATTGCAATAAATTTGCTATATATGTCATGTAATAGTAATACTTCCATTTTCACCAATATTAAATCACCTGTCTAGCTCAGAATCTCTTTATTTTTCGCTGTGTTTATTGTTATGCTTTAATATATATCATATATTCTTCCCTAGTTGTATTTTTATATGCTATAAAATTTTATTTCTGTCTTCATCCTAAACCCACCGAACTGTCAAAACTAACTAGCTTGTTGTTGGGATTGCAATTTATTTCTACTAGTTTTTGCAGAAAATGTGTGGTCTTTACAAAGAGCTAGGTATCTGGGCCTGAAAAGTAGATTACCTTACCAGCCGTTCAATTATTTGTAGCTTTCCAGGTTTTGGGATCAATCCCTGAACATTTCTTTGACACTTTCTTAAATTTAGTTTAGGTGTTGATTCAGTCGCACAGTTTCTGCAATGTGCCTGCTTCCCTCACACCGAAAGTGTGTTGATTCACTACACATCCTTCACTTTCTCTGTCATATTGGGAACAATTCTTCCGGTACTATATAGTGCAGTAGTTTCGCTTTGCCTTCTGAACTGCAGTACCACAACCGTTCAAACTACTGTAATGGGCTGTTAATGTTCTTCTCTAGTAGTCTGTCAGGTACTCCTTATACCTAGATAATGATCATTTGTTTTATTACGATTACGGTTGCGTTGCCCATTGTCTGCTGGTAAGATTATTATGAACACATCTTCTTTTAATACATTTAATGTATTCCACTCAAAATTCATTAAAATTGTAAGTTGCTGTTAGTTTCCAAATTTTTTAATTGCATTTAAGAAGGAGTTATTGAAAATTATGGATTCACAGATCATAATGATTTTTACAATAATTAATAAACTATGTTAATAAATGATAGATAGATTTAGATACGTATTTTCCTAGAAATAATTCTTTTTGACATTCCCAACTGCGTGATTGTATCGTTCCAAAGATCAAATGTTGTATTCCTTATCTCAATCGCTTTTATCTAGTTACTAAAGTCGTTTATCATGTAGTAGTAAAATTAAAGATTGTTTCATAAGCATTCTCTAACCATTCTTATCGGTTATCATTGCGCTTCACGTTAAAAAGTTAAATCTAATATTATTTTCATTACCTGTATTTTTAGAAAACACAATAATAATCTTCGAGTATATTTTTTGTTATCTCAACAATCCATTAAAAAATGATGCTGTAGTTTTCCGATATTACTTGAACATTGACTGGAATCTCGACAATTAGATATAAAGATTATTCCAAATAAGTGTTTTTCCTGGTGTGACATTCCTATTTATATAAAATCGACCTTTATAGCGATATAGATAAAAATCAAGGTAGATGATATGCGAACAGGTCAGCTAAGAAAAGATTTTTAGAGCGGTCAAGACTTCGTGCTGAATTGTGAAAATTCAAAAATACCTCACTCACTATTTGATGTTATGGGTTTTGCTGCGTAAAGCTTCTAGAATTGACCAATAGTTTTACTATATTCGCTATTACGTGTTGTACGAGCTTTAACTAGAAGCAAGTTCCTGCAAAGAAGAAAATAAATCGTGAATGTATGCGGATGATTTTTTATAATTTTATAAAAGGTCTTACTCAACAAAAATGTATATAATCGCTTCGTGGAGCTTTTGGTGGTCTGTCCGTCACTGCTAGATGTCGTGAAGGTCGCCAAAAATCCGTGGTTGTTCCAAAAACATCGACGCTGTCGTCGATGACAGACAGAATCGTCTCTAGGCATATCTCAGATTGAAATATGATCGATTTTGCATAAATATTTAGGTGTGATAAAGATCTGTTACAGATAGATTCCGCATATTTTAATTATACTTAAAATACTATTATTTCCCTTATCTCAACAGCTGCAGGTATGATTATATCTCCAGCAATTGCATGTGACTTACTGATTTTTGCAATGCGATACAAAACTCTATAACTTGCTAGTAATTATTTTTCATTTGTAATAATTGATGATGAAAAGATCGCTTGTTGATTGTGAACAGACTTTAGTGTTTTTCAAAGAATTCTACAGGTTTCTTCTTTTAGTTTCGAGGGCTTCATACTTTCTTTTGACAAAAATTCTCCACAAATAATGCACTGTGGCTTATCCAAAATAACTGTAAAACCATATTTAAGACACTCATCATTTCTACAGTCTGTTTTTCCTTTTATTTTCTTTTCCAGTCTTGGCGATTCTAATGATCTTTTTAAAAATGTATCAAACGCAACACATTTGTTGTTTAATCACATTTTCCCGCTATAAAACTGAATTTACAACTCCAGAAAAATCTAGGTACTAATATAGCGCCTTCTCTTGGTTAAATCTTCTTCTTCTAAATGTGCCTATCTTCTAGATATGTTGGCGACCACATTGACCCATCTTATTCTATTCACAGCAGCTCGAAATAGATCAGTTGACGTAGACCAGTCCATTTCCTAAGATTGGCCAGCCAGGATGTAGGTCTACGTCCAGGGCCTCTCTTACCCTCAATCTTGCCCTGTAGAAGTCGGTATTTATCATTACGCATGATGTGGCCGAATTAACCCAATTTTCTGTCTTTTATGGTATTAATAATTTCTTCGTCTTTTCTTAGCCTCTGGGGAATAGTTATGTTACTTGTGTGGTGTTTATCCTCATCATGTTACCTCATCAATCTTGGTGATTTCCCATCTTTAATCCGCTTAATAGCCATAGTTACTTCTTCTATTTGGTTAAATACGGAAGGAAAACGACAAGTTGTGTAACTGGTTCGTAGATGGCACAAGTAAAATCATTTTTCTCTATTAAACAACTATAGCAAGTTTTGGACGGTGTATTAGATCTTCTCCTTGATTTGGCAATCTTATTAAATGAACTGGGTATGATAAGACAAGATGGTGGTCAACTAAGTTTTTTTTATATAAAAAGAGGTTCCTTATCTAAGAAAGTTTGTGAGACTTTGCTTTAGAGGATCGAAGAAGTGGGAATACTTAATGAATGATGGTATATAACGGTACTTTTTTTCAACGGTCTTCCAAGAAACAACAAAGCATGTCTTATCATTCTTCATCAGGACAATGCCAGTTTCGGTATGGCAGATCAAAAAATGAAATATTTCAATGGAAAAAACACCTAATGACTGTCGATATTAGTCTCAGAATTGACGAATGTATTTATAATTGGGATTACTTTCCACTTTATACTTTGTTACCTTAAATATAAAACTTTTTCTTTCCTTTTAGAATAAATTCAGCGATTATAAAAGCAAACATTATTGATTTAGTTAGACAGAAGTGACTCAATTTTGGTTTATCATCAAACAACTTATATTAATACTTTCTTTTTGTTCCAGGGCGAATGCGAAAGTCTCTCATACGAAGAACTTCAAGAGCACTTCCCCAAAGAATTAGCCCTACGTGACCGCGAAAAGCTAAAGTACCGTTACCCTCAAGGCGAATCCTACATCGACGTCATGACTCGCCTGATGCCAGTACTTACACAACTCGAGTGCGAAACCAACGTACTAACCGTATCCCACCAGGCTGTTCTTCGCTGCGTGCTTGGCTATTTCTTGGAAACGCCCCCCGAAGAAATCCCCTACATCCACGTTCCCCTCCACACTATTATCAAGCTTACCCTTAAGGGCCACAGTTACAACATGGAAACAATCAAGATGCCCATCGAATGCGTCGATACCAACAGAGCTAAGCCTCTCAACTGCTCCGAAGATAGAACCGCTGAAGATGCTCTGCTCACGTTGCCCAAACACTACGACTCTTTGTCAAGTTTAAGCAACATGATGCCCTGTACTTAGCTTACTTTTGGGAAGTGCTCTTTTATTTAGAGGCTGACGGTAATGCTATGGTTTTTGGATGTCGTTTTAGATAAGTGACGAGGATACAATTTTGCGGTGTTGATTTTGTGTTAAATATACTTCGATTTTTATTTTGTACGAGATTAGTCCTAAAAGTACCTGACCCAACAAAACAAAAAGAGAAAAATGTTTATTTTCATATATCTCCTGGTGTGAAATAATAGGTCAACAAACCACGGTCATCAATCGATATTAAAGGTTTTGATTGTGATTAAGGTTATATGCGTGCGCCACTTTTTGACGTGATTTTTATGTCTGATAGCTTGCGCATTTTTGAGTTTTTGGGACAACGACCATAATCACTTTTGTCTTAACACGTTGTTAAGTCTTTTTGGTTTGAACTTTGCTTACCTAATAGTTTAATGTAGTAAACATAATCTTATTGGCTTAATTGACACCATTCACTATTGACAGCTGTCGAACAACGTAACATCTAACTTAATTTTATAAGTAGGACACAATTGTTTATAGTGATTTTTTCTGTTTAACTACCGTTTACTGACCAGGTCAGGCACTTCTAGGGCTAAAACTCTTATATTAGCTTTTAGACGTTAGTGGTTTTGTTTTGATCCATTATAGATGGCGCAAAATTGAATTCTAGTTTTAGAAACATGTAGTGTTAATATTTTTGATGAAACTTACAAAAAAGCCTTGGAAAGGTTCCTTTTAAAACAAATATTGTAGGAAAATATTAATGTCATTCAATTATTGTAGTTGTTGCGTAGGTGTTGGCTTCCATATGACTGATTTTGAGGATATTAGTATAACGTAAACTATAAGTACTGTTAAACTGATTTTTGGCAACGTATTGAATATCTAAGGAGTATTAGCATAAAAAATCTGTTTGATATTAACATAATTCACAAACATCACGTTGATTTTGTTTCTTTTTGGGGACAAAATGATGCAATTTAAAAACGAAAGCACAAAAAGGAAAAAGACATATAGGAACGTAGACTAAAACCCCTTATTGAACTTCATGCCACTCCACAATCACTAGCTCGTAGATTAGTTGGTATGTGCAGCGCTGAATGTAGAGTGGTAGGGATGTTTTAAGTAAACAGGGTTGCCGCAATCCCTTGATCGCTAAAACTAACATGCTCTTTAAACAATTATAGCAATAAGTTGACGCAAAGAGCAAAATAACAGACCTACAGCATTATTCAGTGACATTCGGGACTGCTTTCCTGGATACTTTTTATCTGAGTCGATAGCAATATTATTAAAAAAAAAAAACTGAAAAAATACGTCACTTTCTTTACAATTATACAGTGAAGAAAAGGCAGTAACAAAGTAACGATGAATAAATGGCCACTGATCTAAATAAGAATGCAAATTTAGGCGTTTACTACGTCTTATTTAAACTTATTCGAGATTAACTTATTTTTTTGCTTCTGTTACATTCATTGACAGCTATCATAGATGATAAATGTCAAAATTGCCATCTGTCTACTTTGACAAGTGACAATTGAAGGATTATAAAGAACAATACTTTTACACAATACTGTTGTATTTTAATTAACTACAACGATTTTTTGAGCTTGGTACACTATTTTTTAAATTAATATACCTTTCACCTATACCCACTTTTATCTTGGCAGCCCTGTTTAGCAATAAGCCTAGTAGTAGCAAAAAATAGGCTTAAGATTTGCCTTAATTGCCCAATATATTCAAGTCTGCATTAATTTTTAGTATTTTTTATTTGTGGTTGTATGTATTTTAATGGAAAGTTTTAAGGTATTTTGATGACTAAACTTTTCTTGTGTGTAATACTATATTAGTAACTTTTGTTCACGAGTAGTAAGGTTTTGTGCTATAGTTTTTTATGATTTTTATAGTTTGTAGGACATTTTAAGAATGTATACCTCCCGACAGTTTTTTAGAACTATAATAAATATATGTTTGGAAAAAAATTGTCTTTTATTGTACCTCTAGATTAATGAAATTACTATTTTAATGGAAATACGCCACAATTGAAGTTTAAAATAAGTTTATTTAAAAGAATCTTCAAGTTAGAAACCACATATTAAAAAATTGGCCGTATCACGTCAAAATGGTATAAATCTTCTTAAATTTTTAGCCAACAAACAATGGGATGCTGACGGAGGGAGATACATTATTACTGTTGTATAGAAGACTAATCCGATCAAAATTGGACTACGGATGCATTGCATATTTTTCAGCGTCGAAGTCAAATTTAAAAATCTTAGACATTATACACAACAATGCATTATGCATAATCTCTGGAGCTTATAGAACAACTCCTGTTGCAAACCTCCTCTTGGAGAGCCATCAGTACATGAAAGACGGAAATTACTTAGTCTTATCTTACGCTTCAAAACAATCATCACTATATCCTGATAAACTCTATTGAAATTTTTAACTTTACCTTAACACATTCAGCAAACTTTTTACCTTTATTAAGAGATTACACCCTTTTTAAGGGACCGTAACATATTGAACCACATATAAGTATATTATTTATTTGTTATTTGTAATGACTTCTTGGATGACAGAAACTAAACACCATTACTTATCATTGAAGGACCGTAAGCAACGGTTGAAATATTTGAAGTTACTTATTATGTTCAAAAAAAAATTGCTTTATTTAGTTATATATCAGATAGCAAGTTGAAGTACACACTCAGAAAGAAAAAAGCAAGACTCTTAACCAAATTTTCTACTTTACTAACTGGACATGACACGTAGCTCCATCTACATTGCATGGCAGAAAATATACACCATTGGGTGTGCTTCTGAAATATGTAACAACTATTGAACTATAAAAAAACTGATAGCGTGCTCACTCCAAGAAGAAAATTTAATTAACAATCTTACCTTATTCTCTCAGAGTCTTTCTTTGATATGTCATTGTCTAATGTAGCACAAATATCGGTTGAAACATGTTATAATGTGAACGAAAAACATACTTTTAGAAAAAAGGCCGAACGTTTAAAGCTTTCTGTTGCATAATACGGCTCTCATGTAACTTGTTTAACATACTGAAAGTGTTGGCTTTAACATCCGTCGTATTGTAGTCACATTGTTATAAGATATACGACGTAATAAGGACAATAGGTCAGGTCTGCATCCGCTCTCGGATCATTCTTGATATTTGCTGCATTATTCGTTCTGTGAAAATGATGGTAGGCAATATTTGTTGCATCGCAAATTCATACAGTAATAGTAAAAGTGGTTGTTGCATTTTTATCGATTTGCACTTGAAAATCATAACAAGCATTAATGTAAACTGTGAATTTCAGAATCAAAGTGAAAAATATTTAAATTTTTAAAGAAAAAATGCACCAATAATTATTTCTACTGTACCTAAAATTGAAACAAAAATTCAGTTATTAATATTATTTCTTGATTACATTAAAGTAGAATTGAAAAACAAAGGAAAACCTTACTCAATTTATATATTTAAAACAGTATAGGTAATGGATTTTGACAAGAGCTATGACCTTGTAAATAACAGGTAAACTTGTGTACTAAATCGGCATGACTCATAGCTCTTGTCAAAATCCATTACTTCTAAATCTGTATTTACAATTGCGCAATAAGTGAGGTTAGGATAAGAAGTATCTCAAAAAATAATTATTCAAATAATTACTTCACTTCAGTAGACGCAGGTTCAGAGACGGCGTAGGGCGTGGGTGACAGCACGTTATACACATTCTGAGGGCAAGGATCAACCTATACAGTGTCCCAAAAGCCGGTGTGAAGCAGCATCTTCATGTATTCATCTTCTAATCTTACGTAAATCACTTTACATACTTCTGGTACTATCAAACTAATCGTACTTTCATGAATTCCAGTTGAAAACATCAAAGACCGATAAGATTTACCAGTTGATAAGAAACGTAAAGTTATAGCCAACCTAAAATGATAATCATAACTAAATATTATTTGCAAAACTTGATATTGTTAATCAACATTACTTACAATATTATACCTATTCTCTTCAGATGAACTTTGCCTTAAAATTGTATCCTGTTTGGTAATATTTTTTCTAATAAGCTCAAGAAGTTCATTAAACTGTGACACACACATTCTTAACTGCCTATATTTTTCAGGATCATTGTCTTAAGTTCTGTTTCCAACATATTTAAAACACCACGACCTTTTGTCTTTTCTGAAGGCAAGCTCTAGTCCACATTGGCGTTTGGCGTTGTTTCTTGCTTGATTGAATAAGAAGAAATGTTGCAATAGAATCAGCGGATAATAGAATTTTCTTATCCATCATAAATGTCCTATATAAAATAACAAAGGCAAAACTAGGCGGAAAGTTGTATTATATATCCACATCTATGGGAAAAATGAGGTTAAAATAATGTTAAAAGAAAAAGAAGAAGAACATTGAGGTTAACAGTACATATACCAACATAAAACCTGTACCTTTTAGCATGTAATGCGAAGAATCACATAACATATCAGGAATTTGGAAGAGTAAAGGCGAACTCGCAAAGTGGACATTTTAAAAACAGTCTCATCTTTCTCACAAACCTTTAAAGAATGCTTGTGTGTATTATAAAACCATGTTTTGCCTTTCATATTCCTAAAATTCTGTAAGAATAATAATATAATAATCCATTCAAGTCAGAAACTGAACTACATAATCGTCTAGAAGAGCAATGGCAAACCCACAGACTTTCGTTGTGTTTTCGTTCAAGGTTCGCCCTTCTCCTTTGTAACCGTATCAACGCGCCGGTGTTTCTGTAGTTGGTGAGAGATAGTCTCAGATATATGCGTTGTTCTTGAGTTTTTGGGTACCATACAGCTTGTTGTAGTTTTAATTTCTCGTATTTCAAAAAAAAACCGACGTTACATTAGCCTTAAAGTTGTTTTGTATTTTTTCTGATTTATTTTCAAAATGAACGCCGAGAAAACGACAAGGCGGAAGCAAAAGAAAACGGAACAATGGCTTGTTAACGCGTGTAAAACCAAACGAAACTGTGGTGAAGCGTACATTTTAAGAAATAAAAAGAAAAACTATCTGCGTGCACAATCGGACTGCATTGGAATCAAAACCAATACCTTTCAAAAATGGTAAGTTTAAATGGAACCCACGCCTAAACTTACCTGCAACGTAGAATACTACAAAAGAAAATTGTGGACTTACAACTTAGGAATCCACACTATTAAAACAGGAGCAGCAACAATGTATGTATGGTATAAAACCATCGCTAAACTCGAATTGTGCGAAATAGCTAGTTTCTTAGTCACTACTTGGAAAACTTTTTTAATAAGCTTATGAGAAGTCATAATTTTTAGTGATAACTGTGCAGGCAAATACGATCATAAACGTTGTTTTGCCTAACCTTCGACACATTCATGCAAATCGCTTTGATCTTATTAAGCACGTTTTTTTAATGTCAGGGCAATCGATGATGATTGAAGCATTATTTGTGAATTTTGCAAATTATTTTACTATTAGATTCTACATACTTTGTTAACAAAACGATGTTTATTTGTGTAGAATCAAAACTATTAAACCCCTTTTCTTTTCATTTTATAAAAATCTTGCAAATCCTACAACATCCTCTTTTAATAACGGTATAGTTTTATGGGATTAAGCCACAATTGGTTGTAATGATAATTACATTAAAAAAACTTTTTCTTTCTTTAACAAAAATGTAATTATAATTACAGCCAATTGTGGCTAAATCCCATAAAACTATACCTTTACTTTCATTTATTACTATTCTAACATGTTTTTAAACTTTACTAAGAATTCTAGAAACGTGTTTTTGCAGTTCGCCTTTAGGGTGGCCGCACACAGAAAGAGCAAAACTGTTTTAGTCAAAAACGTTTTTGTTTCCACAAGAAACATTTTGTTTCCAAGAGAAACGATATGTTTGCACAAACCATACTGCTTCTTCTCCAAGTGCCGTCTCCATCAATGGAGGTTAGCGGTTATGGTGGCAAACGTTTGTCTATCTTCAGCTGAAGATAGAACTCTTAAGAGCAGCTGAAGATAGACAAACCATACTGCAATCAGTTTTATTAAAGATGTCGACAGATAACGACGAAATTGCACTAGTTTTCTGGCAGTGGTTCCTCCTACAGGCAAAAACAAGCAGAATATCGCTGTTTCCACATGCGCTTCTTATTGACTACTCGAGCGATTTCAAGGAGGGAATTCCAAAAACACGTGCGCCTGCGTATATTGAAATTTTTCGACAACAAAACGACGATCCGGTAATCAACGTCAAACAGACTGAATGAAACTAAATGAGCCTAAACATGCTTTAGACACACGACTAATCAGTGTGCGTCAGCTCATTTCATTTATATGGAAGCATCAGACTCGTTTAGTCAAAAACGTTTTTGACTAAAACAGTTTTGCTCTTTCTGTGTGCGGCCACCCTTACGCTTCCAACCTCCCGATATTCTAATATGAAAATGTGACAATGTAATGCACAAAACATCTTGTATTTAATATTATATACAATCAATTTAAGCTATTTTGTTTTATCGTTTTCTCCGTATAGTCTTGGGGCCGGTTTCACCAACGACAAATAGCAGTCTATTCAATGAATAAAGTTATTCGACCGATAAAACTGACATATCTGCGTTTCACCAACTTCAAATAAGACTTATTCTATGAATAAACTCCAAATAAGTTATTAGTCCAATATCGGCCAAATAAATATTTATTCTTGGAATAAGTTGACAGCTAACCTCACTTTAAATATCAATAATAAAGAAAATTTATTAGTTTAACTTGAAATTATCAACAATGTATTGCAGGTAAACGTAATTATATCAGACAATTTGAATTTTGTATACATATATATTTATTTTCGATTATTATTTTCATCATCATCATCCTCTGATGACGGAAATGAGCAGAGAAGGAGAAGACTATGCTGGCAGCTGCAAAGACGAAACCCTTTTGCTGAATTTGATGATGTAGACTTTAAAACTAGGTTTAGATTATCAATGAATTCAGTAGATCAATTATTAAATTTGATCGGTAACCAATTGCATCCTGTAAACAACAAAAATAGACCCATAGATGTGCGAAATCAATTATTGTTAATTGCTCTTCGTTTTTATGGAACAGGATCGTTTCAAATATGTATTGACATTGACCATTGGCATTGACAACTATTATTATTTCAACAAATTAATCAACCAATATCAAATATTATAGGTTATGTATATGATTACAGTGAAAAATAGGGCTTGGCCAAGGACCTAACAGGTCGAGGCCAAGAGAGGTGTCAACGAGTACAGTCTGTGGAAAATCATTACACTTGGAACTTATTCGACGAATAAGTAACTGTGGATTACAAATAGGTATTGAAACGGCATAAAATTTATTCTACCAATAAATTTTATTCGACGATTAACTATTCAGTGATTTATTTGTTGTTGGTGAAACCGGCCCTAAAACAGTCTTAACACCTCGAAGATACTCACTTAATGAATGCCGAACCTCTGATCTTTCCATCGGTGTGCGTGAAGGAGACTCAAATATGTCATTTCGTGTATCATAACAAATTGTCTGAACCAATACCTTGACTAAATCAATACTGACACATCCACCAAAAACAAAACAAATTCAACTTAAATAATTTATTAATAACCTGATTTGGCTTAACCTAACGTCTTTATATACCATATGGTAACTAAACAAATTAATAACAAATTTCCTGTAAAGATATCAAAAATATATCTATATTACTTCACGTTGTATCGGACTCTAATACTACACCCAACTTTTCTTGAATTTGGTCAAATCTTTCCACAAACTGAGCTAGAAGTTGAGGAGCTTTGAGTGCACTCATGTCTTCTTTGTTTAACATCGCGTTCCTAAAACATAAATAAATAAAGATAGAATAGAAATATGCTTTATTGTCACTGAAAATTGTACAATTTTATGGACAAAGCTTACAAAAGGTAAAAAAAAACAATAACAATCAAAATTTACTAAAATTACATAAATCGTCAATATCACAAAATAAAAGAGAATAAAATATACAATCCATTGAAAATTTCACTAAATTGCAAATTGCATAATAAAACCTTACGAACTAGTTTAGGTGCGGTGTACAGTACCCGGTCCGGTGGTAACCACTTAAACAGCGTGTACACAGCGGTGTAGAAAGCCAAGGGAATGACTACTACACTATTTCTCCCAGGTTTATCAATATGGCTGAGGAATTAAACGATGGCCCCGAGTATGGGCGCCTCTTAAATGAGGCAGGGGTGCGAAGAATCTCCCGCTTGGCCAAATTTGATATCGAAAAAATCTGTAGAATAGTCACATGGAAGGTGCGGAGTTTATATGAACCCGGAAAAACACACAATGCCATAAATGAGATGAGAAGGCTGCAAATATCAATTCTGGGTATTGGTGAAATGCGATGGCTCAGATCTGGTCAATGCCATGTGGATGATCATGAAGTATATTATGCAGGAGAAGACAGTAATTATCATCGTAATGGTGTAGGATTCATAGTCTCAAAGGAGGTTAGCAAATGTGTCAGGGAGATATGCCAGGTATCTAAACGGGTTATAATGATTCAGTTGAACGCGAAACCCAGAAATAATACAAGTGTATGCACCGACAGCGGAAAGTGAACTAGAAGAACTTCTAAGCCGATGTAAAGACTGTTACTGACAAACTCAAGAGTAGAGGTCTTACTATTCTGATGACTGACCTTATTGCTAAGATAGGAAAAGGCAGACAAAGTAACATTATTGGATGTTATGGACTGGGCGATAGAAATGAAAGAGGAGATTATTTCGCAGATTTTTGCTAAGAACATAATCTATGCATAATGAACATCTTTTTCAAACTACCTAAACGGAGATTATATACACGGAAATCTCCAGCAGACGCTCCCCGTAATATCGTCAGAAACCAAATTGACTACATAAATATCAGGGAGCGTTACAGAAATGCAGTAAAGTCTGTAAAAACTTTTCCTGGTGCCGATGTTCCATCTGATCAGAATCTGTTGTTAGCCGAAATAAAATTAAAACTTAAACGGATAAAACAACAACGATCCTATAACAAACTGGATATGGATTTTATTAGAAACAATAGTCAGATGATTGCAAACAATTTAGAGAGCAATTTTGAGAATTATGAACAACAAGAATCCATCGAGGGTCATTGGAACCAAATCAAAACGATTATAAGTAACTCAACTCCAAACTTAAAAAAGAGTAGTCAAAAAAAGCAACAGTGGATGAACGATGAGATTCTGAATTTGATGGAAAAAAGGCACAATTTTAAGAACCAAAACGTAGGAATGTATAAAGTAATTAATAAAGAGATAAGGACTAAAATAAGAGCTGCAAAACAAACATACTTCGAAAACAAATGTTTAGAAATTGAAGAGTTACAGGGAAAACATGATTCATTTAATATGTATAAAAAAATAACAGAACTGACAGGTCAGAACAAAAAACAGCCAAATAACATCGTTGATAGAGATGGAAAACTGATTATCACTAATTTGCATAAAATAGACAAATGGAAAGAGTATATTGAGGAACTGTTTAATGATGAAACGGATGAAAGTTGTCAATCTCTGCTAGATGCTAAACATTTTTTTAAAAAACGACGCCCTTTAGCAGCAACTTTCATTCATTAAATCAAATTTTAGTTGGCTCCAAAAAATATTACTCAATTAGAATCATCAAATTTTTCTCTGGTAGAAAGCATTACACAGCAACAAAGAGAAAGTTATAAATGGTAAAGGGGAATAATGCACTTCACCTCAAAGTAGTTTTGGCGTTAACCACAATTTCAAGGTATTCCCGTCATACCTGTCACAGTAGAATGACGGAAAAACATTCATAAACTCTTTAATCTTTACGCTTTCTCTTGACAATCAAAAATTGTATTCGTGTAACGTGGATAATGAATTGTTAAAATATTTACCCTGTTGCTTTCCTACTTCTTCTTTCTTTTGAAGGCGGTGTCGTTCCGGACCAGGGTACTGATCGTTCTGGATAAAAGTCTTCGCTCCTGACAGACTCTCTATCTTCTTCTAACCGTTCACGGACCTCCTAGAAGAAAAAATAGTACTAATATTTTATATAGTTTTTTTATAGTAATGATTTAAGCGTTTTGTGGAGTGAGGTTATTGAAAGACAAGTTTTTAATCGATGTCACCAAGAAGCCCACAAATTATAATTTGGTACTTACACAGTAAGTCTTATAGTTGGAAAAATTAGTACGAATTAATTTTAAAAGGATTTATTTTATTTACAGCGGAAGATTTTGTTTTCCAACAGAACGGCGCAGGTTGTCATACCTCAAAAAAGAGTTTAAACGGAATTGAGGACCATGGCATACACCTTCTTGAATTGGTTCCTAACAGTCCTGAATTGTCCCCGATAAAGGCTTTGAGAAACCATCCTGCCAGGTCCGTCAAGAAAAATGCTCAACAGAGAATATAAGTCCAATATCGAAAGCAATGTATCGAAACCTCACATCGTGATTTTAATCTACACTTTCATAGTCCATCTAAAGACACATGTGTGAAGTGTGATACATTTAAGGCAAAACTAGCGTGTATCACCAATGAGCAGAAAAAGACTGATCTAAAAACACAGCATGCGTTGCATTTGTTGAAGTCTGAAAAGGCAAGAACAAGTCAAGCTAATGACAAGGAATTGACTATTGTAAATACAGGAAAAATGTACTGTTTCACATTCGACCTATAAAAAGCTTTGCCTTTTCCGACATTAACCTGTACCATTGCGTATTATAAAAGAAACATGTACGTACACAATTTAGGGATACACGAGTTGGCCGAAAAAGAAAAGTCTTTTATGTATGTTTGAGATGAAATCACTGCTTCCAGATGATCACAAGAAATCGGATCATGCATACGAAAGTATGTTATGACAAATGCAAATGAAGCAAAGCATATTATTGCTTACAGTGATGCTTGCGGCGGTCAAAACCGCAACTTCAAGCAGTGTTTATTCTGGTTAAAATTATTGGCAGATACAGTGTTTAAATTTAAATATGGTTGTATAAATTGATCAAGACATTTGTCCTCCCCCTGTGTTCCTACGATCCCTATTGGTACCTCTCGGGTATGCTATGCATCCCGCTGACACAAGATCGTAAGTCGTTGAAAAGAAAAGACGCAACCCTCCGCTAGTGCATCGATGCATTCAGATTGAAGTCGTTTTGTTCTTTGTTTTTTATGGTAGTGAATCATGGTAATTAGCGGTACAGTAAGTTCACCTAGTTTTACCTAACCTTTGTATTGTTTTTTGATTGTTTATTGCAACCATTGAAATTTTGATATTATTTGTTATTTGCACCTATGAGTGAAAGTTCATTTATCTTGCCAGAGCTATCGAAGGAATAGTTCCTATTAATTTAATTACTATTAATTCGTAATAGTACATTATTTGTTAATCCCCCACATTGGTCCTTCGAGCCGGATTATATAAATCTAAAAATAAACTAAACTCCTTAAAATCACCGTTAAATTTAGGCAGTTCTATTTTAGGCAAGCGAATATTAGATTTTGTAACTACTACCGATCTAAACCGTTCTGGTGTTTCATATTGTGGCTCAAATAATTCCGCACTAAATAGTTTTATTTAGTGCGGAATTATTTGAGCCACAATATGAAACTCCAGAACCGTTTAGATCGGTAGTAGTTCCAAAATCTAATATTCGCTTGCCTAAAATAGAACTGCCTAAATTTAACGGTGATTTTAAGGAGTTTAGTTCATTTATCTTGCCAGAGCTATCGAAGGAATAGTTCCTATTAATTTAATTACTATTAATTCGTAATAGTACATTATTTGTTAACCCCCCACATACAGATATTGAAGTAATAGATCATAAGTGTACGGTGTAGTGTCATTCATTTTTACCAAATGATCGAGATTTCGGTAAATTGAACAGTATGCCAAAAATCGTTTAAAATATACGCCTGAAGACTGGTATACAACAATAAGAAAATGTAGGACAAAAAATCCTTTTTCGGTGTACGAAATGAAAAAAGAAGACATTCTCTCCATAGCAGCAGTGGAAAACTCCGTAACTCGCCTCAAGAAAAATGAAAATGATTGTACAGTATCTTGGTTGAACATCCAGTGGCTGCATTTTGAGAAAGATCAACCGTACAAAATATTTTATAAGACCACTTTGAATGAAGACTTTAGTTTTGAAACAATAAACATTTTTCCACAAAACAATAAAAAAAGTGCCCCTTAACTAATGAAAAATATGAAACTTACACCACTGTACTCTACTCCACTTAAAATTAGCGCCAATAAAAAAAGGATATGGTGGATCTACTCCAGTTCATACCACCCTATCAACAGGAGTATTTTAAGAATATTTTGGAAGACCCATCCATTGAAGATATTGGACCCTTGGGAGAGGAAGAACTTGATTTTATGAATTTTTTGCTAATAGAATATTAGTTTAAGCTGTAGTTATTTTTATTACTTTTATTAGTGTTGAGAAGCAAAGGGGTCTATCACAAATTATTAAAAAACCAAAAGTAAAATTAATATTATCATGCTAATTTTACACCAAAATCTAAGTTAACATGTTTGTAAACTATATTGAACAAAAAAAATTATAATAACACGTCTCAGGATTTTCAGTAGCATCTAAACTTTAAGGCTTTGTATATCACAATATGCTTGGAGTGACTTGTACCACTCAGGCTTTCAATGGCTCATATACAAAGTGGCCCAAAAGTCTGGAAACGGCTAATAATCTCGTAAAATGCTAATCATAATTGTACAAAATTTGAGGTACACCTATTTTGGGATACGGAGATTCCATATTTGATATTTACAATGTTGCCAGATTTGTCGTTTTTCTTATATTATTAGTAACTTTGGTTTTTCAAATACATCACCCTGTATATTCAGTCATTATTGGAATCTCCTATTCAATACGAGTTTAACCATATGTAACAATTATGATTTTATGTAATCTGAAAGGTCATAAATACATAAAACCGAAGTCTGGCAACGCCTAAATTGTTTCAATAAATTTTTTAATACCAACTATTTTCAAATACATTAAAACGTAACAATTGATAATTTAGAACATTTTTTAACATAGTAGTTACGTTATTAAGTGTTCACAATATGCTCAATTTGTGAGTTGACAGCACCCTAATCGATGGTAGAAGGCGTCTACCACATTTCTCCATGATTGTCTAGAAATTATTCGAGATTCATTGATAATTCGTTCCCTTAGCTCTGCAAGACTTGCTGGTTAAGTTTTGTAAACTGAATTTTTCAAGTATCCCTAATAAAAAATAGTCTTTAGGATTGAAATCGGGTGAACGTGGAGGCCATTCAATTCTACCTTGCCTACCAATTTATCGTCCAGGAAATATCTCATCTAAATATCGCCGAACATTTACACCAACTATCTGACGTTAAATTTCTTTCGACAAAAAATGACCCAATTAAATAAGTAACTACTATATCTGACCATACATTTAATTTTTGTGGTCTTTGAGTATGGTTTTCCCGCATTCAGTCTTCAGTGTGAATTTACGTCACACCAGTACCTTAAATTGTGTCGATTTACACTTCCACACAGTGTAAAAGTTGCTTCATCGGAAAAACATATTCTGTTAACGAAATTACCTCAGTGAACTCTAATCTACGACCAAAGTCATCTTCACTTAATTCTTGCAATAAGTTAATTTTGTATGATTTAAATTTATTTTTACGTAATAAACGAAGACTGAAGAATGACCTACATCATGTACTTGTACAACCCTGCCTGGGGATGTATGTGGATCTTCAACAAAACTTTGCTTATATCTGAAGTTTTGTTGTCATTGATAACTCGTTTCGGTCAACCTTACCTTACAGTTTTTTGCACCGTCGTCTTATGAATAGGAGAACGGTTTAGAGAACGGCATTTTAGAGAAGCAATTTAAATTGCAGAACTTTTTGAACCACAACTACTGTCAATTTTAGTTCATAATTTAAATGGTGAACAAATGTCAAAATAACAGTATTCTCCATTTAAATATTTAAATTTATTAAAATCTACATATTTTGCACTGTTTTATGTATTTAAGATCTTTCAGACTACATAAAATCAAGTGAACATATGGTTGAACTCGTATTGAATAGTTGAACTCGTGTGAAATTCACACTGAATGCGTGAAAACCATACTCAAAGACCACAAAAATTAAATGTATGGTCAGTTATAGTAGGTACTTATTTAATTGGGCCATTTTTATCGAGAGAAATTTAACGTCAGATAGTTGGTGTAAATGTTCGGCGTTATTTAGATGAGATATTTCCTGGACGATAAATTGGTAGACAAGGTAGAATTGAATGGCCTCCACGTTCACCCGATCTCAATCCTAAAGATTATTTTTATTAGAGATACTTGAAAAATTCAGTTTACAAAACTTAACCAGCAAGTCTTGCATAGCTAAGGCAATGAATTATCGATGAATCTCGAATAATTTCTAGACAATCATAGAGAAATGTGGTAGACGCATTCTACCATCGATTAGAGTACTGTCAACTCACAAATGGAGCACATTTTGAACACTTAATAACGTAACTATTATGTTAAAAAATATTCTAAACTATCAATTGTTACGTTTTAATGTATTTGAAAATAGTTAGTATTAAAAAATGTATTGAAACAATTTAGGCGTTGTCAGACTTCTGTTTTATGTATTTAAGACCTTCTAGACTACATAAAATCATAAGTGTTACATATGGTTGAACTCGTATTTAATAGGAGATTCCAATAATGACTGAATATACAGGGTGATGCATTTGAAAAACCAAAGTTACTAGTAATATAAGAGAAACTGAAAATCTGGCAACATTGCAAATACCAAATATGGAATCTCCGTATCCCAAAATAGGCGTATCTCAAATTTTGTATAATTATGTCTAGTAATTTACGAGATAATTAGCCGTTGCCGGACTTTTGGGCCACTCTGTATACATATTCTATGCGTTTTTTCAAATTTATTATTATTGGAAAGGTTCGAACGTAGTTTTGAGATTCGAATCGGTTTGCAAATGCCCCTTTGTCCGCTTCTTGTCGATCGATGATGACGATCGATGATAGGTGATCGATGATAGAGGTTATTGCTTTCTATCATACCATACCAACAAACTTTGCTTACAGTACACTTTAATCTAAGCCTTAATTGCGGCACTTGGGAAGTTCAATTAGAAAATATATTATTCGGGAATTTATTTAGTTGTAGGTAAATAAACTAATTATTAAAATATTATGCGATATGGTTTTTCAATGTCACTTATACACGGTGAAACTATAAAAGATTAAGAAGTTAAGAATAATGTGAGATTACAATTAATCAATAGTTTTCATTACGTTATAAAATATTTTTTATAATTAGGAAGTTCAAAAATGTAGTTCGATGCATTAAAGCTTCTAAAATTTACACTGAGCTTTTATTTGTGTTCTCTAAATTTCAATTTTCTTATCAATGTAACGTTAGGCCAACTGATATGGGAAGGGGCTCGTACGGCACAAATGAAAAAAGTGCGCAAAATGGATATACCAACATAAATAATATTTCTACAATTCCAAGAACAAAACATATAATAAAAACTTCAGGTGATTAAAATTTCTAATGATAGTTTGGATATTACAACCACAAACCGACATCACCACAACATATTCTTATCAAAATAATTATTTTTAATTTTAAAGACAGTAAATTAAAACACCGTAGTATAAACAATATGTTCGGCATGCAAGTTGTATATTTTTTAACTACAATCGCACTTGTGTCATGCAAAGAATACGTCAAAGGCGTCAAAGGGACGAAAAATTATACCATTGGCACAGTAACGCCAAATAAAACTATTAGAGTGAACAACATTTGTTTAAGTAATAACACAAAGTGTACAAACTATGGTACTAACACTAGCCTAACCTTTAAATATGTAAACGATGTGAGCGTACCGTTTGATACGCAGCTTTGGAACCTTACTTCAGAATATAAAAAAAGTATCTACCGCAGCGTTGGTAAGTGGTATATCCTAGACGATATAGTAGTGTTGCCGAGTAATACGACATGTGTATACTCGGAGGAGATCTGTTATGATCTTAAAACGAATGCCTTTTGGCGCTGGAATAATACTGAAGGAAAAAATGCTGCATTATCTAACATATTTAGTGGACCAGTGGAAGAATGGACTGTGACTAATACGCCATTAATCCGGTACATTCGGTTTGATCATAACTACCAATCGTATCGGTTAAGATTAGTTAAGATGGACACGGTATTGAATACAGAAATGAGAGTATGGAAGACAGAAATAGATCACATATTTGTGTACGATTATGTTGGAGACGACCAAAACACCAGTTTATTGACATTGTTACCGTCGCAAGATGACATCACGTTTTTTGAAATAATGTCTGATTTAGCAATATATCCTCCGTCACCCATAAAGTGTACCAAGAATTTTGAAAACGAAGAAATAGGAGATTTACTGTTGTTTGTGCTGTTGGGAATCATTATAGCGCAGTTCGTGTTTGGCGTATTCACGAAAATAAGTTGGTGGAAAAGTGTTTGTTGTAAGGTTCGTAAAGACACTAAGATTACACCTAAGCAACAAGTATTGTTTAAGAAGAATAATAGATCTGAAAGTGTTGAATACATAGATAAACATTATGAAAAAGTTGATTATGTAGCAGAGGAGCATTATAGCGAAATTTTAAATAATTAATAAAAAAGACGTACTACATAGGTATTTTTTTTTATTTTTTCAGTATATATATATATATATATATATATATATATATATATATATATATATACAGATAGAACGAATTTAAAACGGAACATACAATTTAATACATGTCTGTTTGAACTGCATTTGAAATAATGGACCAATATAAAACTTGGACAAAAATAAATCCATACCTGTGTATAGACATTGTATAAAATATCGTTCAACTGTCTCGCAACAATGTTGTTTGTGTAACAATGTTGCTTGTCTAAGGAAGTTTTTAATAGTTCCGGAAATGAAGCTCGAAAAAAGTTAAAACCTCGCAATTTTTTCGTCCTGCATGAATTGAGTTGAAATTTTAACAGAAGGTAGGTGATAGCCCAAGGATCAAAATCTATATCGAACCGAAGTGCGCTGAATGGTTTTAGGAGTGAAAACTACCCCTAATTGTCAAAAATTATAAAATAACATATTAAACCTGAATATGGGTAAGATTTGGTTTGAATTAGTTAAATAATGATTATTTTATACTTTTGAATAGAGTTCCATCATGTTTCAACCCTTAAAAAGCAACCCTTGTTAGAGATTAATGTAAAAAATTACTAATTCTGAAAAAATGATTTCGCCTTGGATCGATTTGGATAAAAATTTGGATTTAAGCTCAATTCACCCGCTGCTTTATAGTTTATGTCATGTAGACAAACCCTGATTGTTCTTAGGGGTGAAAACTAGCCCTAATTGTCAAAAATTATAAAATAACATATAAAACCTGAATATGGGTAAAATTTGGTTTGAATTAATTAAATAATGATAGTTTCGTGCTTTTGAATAAAGTTCCATCATATTTCAACCCTTAAAAAGCGACCCTTGTTAGAGATTAATGTAAAAAAAATTAGTAATACGAAGAAAATGATTTCGCCTTGGAACGATTTGCTTAAAAAATTGGAATTAAGCTTAACTCACCCTCTGCTTTATAGTTTATGTCATGCCGATGAACCCTGATTGTTCTTAGGGGTGAAAACTACCCCTAATTTTCAAAAATTCTAAACATTGTAACATTACAAATCTTAAGATGAGGGAAATTTGGTTTGGATTAGTTAAATAGTGATTTTTTTATACTTTACAATTTCATACATTTTCAACCCTTAAACATCAATTGTTATGAGTGCTATAAGTAAAAACAATTTTTTGCCAAATTTCGCAACTTTTCAACTTTTGAAAATAACCCTTTACAACATTGCAGTTGTAAAGGGTGCAGTTTATAAACTAATTTAATAGATATAAATTGAAAAAAGTAGAATTAAATACAAAAAAATTTATCAACATAAAAAGGCACCATATATTCTTATACATTTACATAAATAGTTGAAAATATTTACATTTATAGGTAAAACAATTATAATATTAATTTTATTCGACATCAATTACATCTTCATCGTGATCAATGTCATCCTCATCTTCTTCAATTATTGGTGGACTATTATTGCACCCTTCACCTGAGCACCCAGAACAAGTAAAGTTACAGTATAAACCAACTTTTCTGCACCCACATGAAACGCCGCATCCTTTTTTGCATTGCCAAAAAATAATTTTCAAAAGTTCATCGGGTGCAGGTTGTTTGTTCATGCGTACGGGTAATAACAAACCATCTTTGGAATACCATCCCCACTCTGTTGCTCTGATATTTTTATTGCCAAGCCATAAACATATGAACAAATGTTTTATTCTGTTGTATGGGATTTCAAAATAAGAACGCTTAAAATTTCGAATGTATAACGCCCCACTACCTAATATACCGGTTTTGTAGATTATTATGCTCCAAAATGTACTGTACTATACTAATGGAATTTTCCGAAAAAAAATTAATTGGTTTTTTAACGTATTTCCTTCATTTTTAACGATAGAGTGTTTCCTCAAAAACAATTTTGTAGAGGTTTTTAAGAGCTACAAGGATTTGTGAATTAAATCTCTTTGGAACCCTTGGTTTTTAAATGGGGTGAGTTTAAAGGGCTCGAAAAAGATGGTGCTTGATCGTAAATCGATGCTTTAAACGGCTATATCTCGCCAAATATTCATTGTACAACAAATCTAAATAAAGGAAAATTTTAGTCATTAAAAAAGCTACAATTTGGTACATTTTTATTTCTTTCATATATTCAGTATTTTCGGTGATATTTAAAAAAAGAAGGGTAAAAAATATGAAATTGTAAATCGTTTCTCGCTTTAAGCTGTACTTTTTCTAAAACTAAGCATTTTAAATGGGTCAAACTTCTTGGACGTATTAACAATACATGTACAAAGAGAATTGCAGAAGGGTGAATTATGGGAGTGTTTAGGGGGTTGTTTTCATCGATTTTTTCTTAAAAAATAAGGTATTGGCCTTATTTTCATCATAACTCACTCAATTTTTGAGCTAGAGTCTTTTTTTATGATAGACTTATTTATGCTCTTTAAAAAAGGTTGCGAATGTTTTCTTCCAAAAATACATCATTTTCCCGATATTTGACTTTGAATCTTTCAAATTTGGCATTTGAAGAAAACCGCTGAACATTGATAGGCCGTATTTCGGTTCCTATTATATCGCAAAAACATTTTAAAAAATGAATTGTATTTGTCTTTTTAAAAGCTACAAATTTGTTCTCTACAATTTTTGATAAAATGCACCATTTTCGAGTTATTCGCGAAAAATCGATTAAAAACGTCGATTTTTTCGTCTAGAAGTTGTTACTTTCAATCGCGAATAACTTGAAAAATATCAGTTTAAAAAAAAAATGTATAGAACATTTTTTGTTTATAATCACTTTTTTAATCGAAACCTGTAGTTAAAACGTAAAAAAAATTTTCACCCCCGGGATGGGGTGGCAACCACCCCCAAGGCTTTGGCGCACTTTGGTTCGATTTTTATTGCTTTAGAATTTTAATATTGGCAACCATATTTTTAAATTTACATATTTCTGAGGATGTTTGTTTAAAGTTTAAGACGAGATTTTGAACACTGATAAATCATCTTTTATAGCGCAATATTTTAAAAATTTGTACGTAATTAGTGCCAGTAACGTTTATTATTAGTTAACGTTTATTATGAATTTCCAAAATACAGATTTAAAAACCCGTTTATTGTATATGTATTCTAAAAGTATTTTCACATTGTACTCCACATCTAAACAGATTTTTTCGTATTTTAGTAAGTAATACTCACCCTAGCATCTTCTTTAAATTGAACAAAGTGATTAGGATTCCTCAACGTCGGCCCGGTAGAGGGAGCGTTAAGGAAAAATTGATTCGAGACCGGCTGTCCAACTTGAAAATGTGCCGATATGACATTGGCATCGTTTTTCCTATGTGTATGTTTATAATGGCGAGAATTTATCCTTTCGGCAATTCGCACGCCACTGTGCCATCGTTTCACGAGGAACTTTATTCGGAATATGGAGATGATCACAAATACTGCTGCCCTAAACGTATACACATGAATTAGTAACGTGTTTTTTCGGTTGTGAAGATAGATATGAATATATATATATATATATATATTATATATATATATATATATATATATATATATATATATATATATATATATATTTACGGCATAAAGTGGAGTCCGCCCATGTTAAAATTCAGGTTTAAGTGAGCTCCGTGGTCAAGTGGACACCGATATACGGAGCTCACTTGACCATTCCCTAATATTGGTTCTGTCGATTCGTTAACATACAGAGGTTCATAATTTTTAAAAAAATTTTGGAGCCCATAAATACCCCTGTATCATAAATGTATATCGTGTAGTTCACGTGTATATATTATAGGGGTCGTTCAGGTCTTTTTCACTGTATATTTGAACAATTAGTTTATCGGTTAAAGTAAGCTCTGAGAGTTTGGCAACCGTGCGATTATAGCGTATATTTTCAAAGTTTACCCTGAACGGTTTATATGAGCTCCTTATTTTTATCTACTTTTTGTAGGCCGTGTAATGCCATACGCATTACACTGTGTAATCAAGGGTATCTTATTACCGGGTATTACTACGTGCTAATAGGTACAAGGTACAGGTTATTTAAAAAACAGGTATATAGATACAAAAGGACTTGGGCTTTTTATTTAATGGAATGGTCACTTGCAGAGAAAATTTTATTTTCTCTGCATTTTTAAAAATGTTATTTTTTTACTTAATATAGTTTTATTAGTTCAATGTTTATTAGTTCAATTTACCTTTTAGTTTTAAACAATGATCTGTGAATAATCACGTGCAATACAAGCTACTTTCAAGGAATTTATAGATAGTCTACAGTTCAACGATTTCATGACATTATTGGAGGTTTAGTTTTGTGAAAGCGTTTGTGTTAGAGAAATTGAAGGAGCACATATGAGTTTTTCAGGCGTTTTGGCTGAAAATTGATTCATAGTTTATTTTTATTGGGCAATAATAGGTGTATCGTCTGTATATTAGAAGTCCTAGTATCTATAGGTATGGGTTAATCGTTTGTTTATACAATGTAAGTGTCTTTATGCTATCCCAAGCGAGACCGTTCTTCATCTGCTATTCTTACCATCGAGTGATACGAAAAATATTCTATTGTGTAGGCATACACAGATAATTTTATCGTTTGTTATCTACGGGGATATCATATAGTTTTTGAAGAAATATCCTGTAATTTAAGGTGTCGTAAGCGGAATTTATATTGAAAAATGCCACCCCTGATACCCGATATTTTTCGTACCCGTCTTTGCTGTCTTGAGTAAGATTTAGTATTTGTAAAGTACGCGATCTTCCCTATCTATAGCCACTTTCGTCTTATAATTTGAGTTTTTTTCTAATATCGGTGAAATCATATCATCGTCTCTTGTGCAAAAGTATTTTAAATAGCTGACAAAACAAAGATATTGGCCAATAGTTTTTGTGGTCGTTGGAGTTTTAGCCAGGTTTAAGCAAGGTAACAACTTTGGCTCGTCTCTAGACTTTGCGTATCTGCATAATTTGAATACAGTTGCTCATCATCCGGATAAGCCATTGTAGTGTTTTGGTCCAGATTTCGTAATTAACTGTGTGTTCAGATCCTCAATGCCGGTAGTTGTATTATTTTTCATTTAATATGTAGATGGTGGATCCAATCAAGCTGACTGTTTTTGTCCTTTCTTATTTGAAGTTTTTCTTTGCTTCTTTTACGACAGAGATAGCAGATCTATATCTATAATAAGGTTTTCAGCGATCAGCTTAACACCAAATATCCTAGGTTAGGCCCTATATGTGTTTCCTGCACTAGAAATACGCCAGATTCATGTTTAGCGCATATGTCTGATAAGTTTAAGTCAAGTAAAGTTTCTTTATCTCTAGATATATCCTTAACATATATAGGAATATGTTATTAGAATAGTTGGTAGTAAAAAGAACAAATTTGACAAAATAAATAAGTTTGTGATATCGGTTGCAACTCATACATGTACAGATAGATAATAAGTAAGTATAGATAATAAGAAAATAAACAGCTAAAAGAAGTGTAAAAAATTCCAACTACATACACCGGTGCCATTGTTTAAGTGATGGGTTTATCACAGATATCAAAGGTTACATTTTAATTCAAGGTTTCATTTACATATTTTCAACATGAAAAGACATGTTTATGCTTTTATTTTTTTAAATCTATTATTTTCTCTTTCTTGCAGCTATTTTAATGTTCTTTATTAATTGTCTTGTTTCTGCAGTAGGAATATATGTGTACCATGATAGGTTGTTATTTTATTTAATGTAATTACTCTTTGCTTTTGCCAATTGCTTTCTTACTTCCTCAGCGATTGGTCTTTTTTTTTCTCATCAATAACCTCATCCTCTCTCGATATAGCTATTCTAAGATATTTAGATTTCACTATATGCTCATATCATTTGGTTTTAATCTCAAATTTGGACCTATGATGAAATTTTTATATCTTAAATCTAATGCTTTCATATTAAACTGGAATAAAATACTTAAATACTAGCCAAATTTACATTAATTTTATAGTTTCCATTTTATTAGTACTGATGGTACATGATTAGCATCTGTTGGTACTATATATCAATTTCAACACATGGAAGTGAGAGCAATCTCCTGTTAGTAATTCCAGTGTCAATTATGACAAAACCCTTGATTGAATATTATAGAGTATAAAATATTTCAATCAACGGTATTTCACAGTGATTTTTTTTTAAATTCTTATATATATTTGCAAAATGGAGAGGGAAGTTCAGTACAGAGCCGGTTAAACAGCTAATCTGTCAATTTAGAAGTAAGAACAAGTACCAACTTGCTAAAAAGCACACCCATACACAAAAGGGATGATAAAATGTACTGCACAAACTGTAGTGGTATGAGTTACATATAAGCTATATATTAATAATTAGGATATACAGTATTTTTTCTAATACACCTGGAACGATTGAGTAAATAGGTGAACTATCAAACAGGAGACTATTAGTGTAGAATTAAAAAAACTTAAAAAATCGTTGATCAAATATTCTCTATTAGGCAGTTAATGAGAAATGTTGGGAATACAGAAAAAACATTAAACCAGTTATTTATAGATTTTAAACAAACACATGATATAATTATAAGAATAAAACTATGAAATACCATGGCAGAACAAGGCTTACCTAAGAAATTAATTAATTTAACAAGGGTGAAGGTCGAAAACTGGACAAAGTGCTTTTAAAAAGGCGAACGAATTAGCGTAACAGCTGTTTTAAAAACTAAACAATATGAGACGAATTGGGGATATTATATTACACAATCTAAACCGCTTGGATACGAAAAATATCAGGAAATAATGATACCACAGAAAAGACTAATGACTTTACAGCTAATTGCTACATAAATGGCAATGTAATGCAAATAGATGATTTTGTACATAAGACTAATAATATATTATAAATTATAACTATATAGATACAAATAGTAAAATAAAACTACAACTATTATACAATATAGTAAATACTTATTTAGATAAACGTAAAATGTTCCACTGAACGTTAACGATAAATGTTTCAAATAAAGGTTAAAACATGCTTTTCAATTCGCGGTAAAAGACTTAGTAGAGTTCAACACACAAGATAAATTCGTAACAAAATTGATATATCAGTACACGGTACCCGATACAGCAGCAAATTAATTTTATCAACAAATATGTAGGTTGTACTTTACCCCATTGAAATCATAGCATCCGCTATGGAAATTGGTATCTTCTTTGACATACAGCAACCACATGTGAAATTACGAAAGATTAATGTTAAATTAGGAAAACTCAATTAACCGTTGATCAAATATTCACTCTTATATACTTAATGAAAAATGTTGGGAATAAAAAAAACATTAAGCTAGTTATTTATAAATTTTAAACAAACATTTAAATATGATATAATTATAAGATTGTGAATAAAATGTTATGGAAGAACTAGGCATACCTAAGGAAATTAACTGCTAACTTACTTTTAAATGTACAGTAGCCTCAAACAAGAAGATGCCATGTCTCCAATCGTGTTTACCATTGTTTTGGAGAGCATCGCCCGGAAACTCTAATACCGAAAATCTCAAAGTTTAATATCAAGGTCCTCACATTATACGAACTTTCGACGATGAGTTTAATATAGTAGGGAGTATAATCATTATTAACAAAAAACATTAATACATTCAATAGAAAAAAGCGCAAAAAGGGTCTTCCAAATCAACGATGATAAAAAATATATGGCATCATAAGAGAACTACAAAACAGAATAGGACATAATATTTCATTAGACTAGTACAACTTTGAAATGGTTCATCGGTCTAAATATTTAATATTTAAGAGCACTTTGAACAAAAACACTACAGAATAGGATAACAACAGAACACAAGCTGGCAGTTCCTACGTTTTAAGCAAAAAAATTAAATCCAAAATACATCCCGCAATACCAAAAATAAGAATCTACGTATGTAAGTGAAACACGGGCAATGAAAAATAAAATAAGAGCCGATTGAGCGTCGCAGAAAGAAGAATTCTTAGAGAAATATATGAATCTGTTATGAATAAGATTACAAACATTAACTTTGGCGTTGAGATTTAGTTTCTTGTACGACGTTGCAATCTTTATCTTTGACCTTAGCATTAGTTCCCGGTCGTAAAACACTTCTGGGGGATTTTCTAGCAATCCTGATCTAATTAATACCTGAGTTTTACTTGCATTCTGATTTTAGTAGTTCATATTAGACTTCTGGATTTAAAAGTGTTATGAGAGTTATATATGAGTTATATTAGTTTGCTACCTGAATTTTTCCTTTTATCTCTTATTTGACAACGATATCGCGATATCTAAAACACTCCTATCTTTCAAAATTATACGTTACTCCTGTTACGTTACGTTACTCTTGTTACGTTATATCGTGTCTTTTGTCTGTTAATGAATATTTAGTTGGTTTTCTCGTTACTGACTATTATACAGTTTTTTTTG